TTTTTCGACGCTTTTTTTAAGGCGATGTTCGACCTCCTGAGGCCGTCCTTCTGCAGTGGTGAGCCCCCGGACTATTTCCATCTTCTCCGGGTTGTTTTACATCACTTACCCGGTTGTTTTATCCCCTTTCCAGGTGCCCGCCGGTTCCTCCAGCGGCCGGAGGACTTTCCTAAGGCCCACCTTGCCCTCAGGGCGCTGTTTGGGGCTGCCAGCGGCACAGGTAGCTCTTCCTTCTTCTTATTCTCTTTTTTTTTTATGGAGGTTGGCAAACAACTTTTCGGTGCATTACTGCCACCTTCCAGATTGGAGTATGGATTCAACAATCTTTTAAATCCTTCCTAATACACCCGTTTTTCTTAACTCATTCGCTGCCAAAGACGTCTATAGACGTCTTTTATGTTTTTCAATGCGAGTGGCTTTGGGGGACGATCGGCGAAAGTTTTTCCGTAAATATTGGCTTCCAGACAGAGTATGTAGTAACAAATTGACCCTCTAGGGGGCAGTGCCACTTTTGATGGGAGATGAGCATGGATTGTAGGCAAATAAAAATAAAAACAAACGCAATGGTTCGCTATGAGAGAAATGGCGCCGGTGAGACGCAAGTCGAGGAAGAACGGAATAAGGTAGAAACAAAAAATGTTTTCCTGATGAAAGAAGAGAGTCTCCTCTTTCTTTTGGTGTGTTCGGTGTTTACATAGTCTTAGCACAAACTATTCTGTGGCTCTTGAAAAATCAGTCAAAATGCTCAAAAAACTCGGGCAGTCAGTGAGTTAAAAAACTGAAAATACTTCCGAAAACCACATCCCAAGATAACCTTTGAAACAAATCCCCAATATCCAATTTTATTTTATTCCTACCTAATTCCCTACGTAACCTCTCCCTTTCTTAATTATATTTATTACATCCCAAAAAAACATGCTGGACTGTTTCCATCTTCCCACAACCACAACACCCCGTGCTATGTTTATTAATTCACAGGTAGCTCTTCTTCTTCTTCTTTTTTTTTATGGCGGTTGGCAAGCAACTTTTAGATTCGTATTACCGCCATCTACTGGAATGGAGTGTGGATCGGGATGCTAACTTTAAATACCCCCCTCAAAGCAAAAAACAAAACAAAAAAAAAAAACAATTATATATTTTCTATCAATTTTTTTTTTCTTGAGATAATTAATTATATAACTTATATCTTTAGAAGTAGAATTTTTTTCTAAAATATCTTGTAAATTTAACTGTAATTTATTTTCTTGTAACTAATTTCCTTCTCTCAACAGAATATTTTGTACAGAACAACAAAACATGCTTTACCGTCTCTTCTTGACCACAAAAATCACAACTTCCAGTTCGATGTTTTCCTATTTTAAATAAATTACTGTTTAACCTTGTATGTCCAAAACGCAACCGAGATATAACTGTTTCACAGGTAGCTCTTCTTCTTCTTCTTCTTTTCTATTATGGCGGATCACAAGCAACTTTAAGGTGCATACCGCCACCTACTGTACATGAGTGTGTAGCAGCGTTACTTCACAACTATTAGATTCTATTTTTTAATTTTGTATTCTTAAGGTAGATAACCAATGCTTTCCTTAATTTATGAATATCTGTTATGTTTCCTTCATTTCCTAATATACCTTTAAGATTCCATTCATGCCCTATACTTCTAACTATTCTCTTTAATTCTTCCCTTTGGCGTTCATATGACTTGCAGTTCATCAGTATATGTTCTACATTTTCTTTTTCTCCACATCTCTCACATTTATCACTATTTTTCCTCCCTATTAAATAAAGCATGTCATTTAAGTAGGTATGACCTATTCTTAACACAGGTAGCTCACCGGCGACCCCTGGAGGTGACCCAGAAAAATATGCGCGTTTCTGTGTCTTTTCATGTCAAAGTTATTTAAAGACGCTTTCATGAGAGTTTCGTTTTTATTATCTGAAAACGGGAGCTAATAACAGACAATTCGGCTGTTTTTAATTGTAGTTTAACTGCCCCAAAAGGCCTGAAATTTCGGGGCTCAGACCTGTAATTCTGCCATGCCAGCAAGGCTACCAGGATGATTTAGTTGGTAAATTGGTCAAAGTTGTATAATATTTGGTGTAATTTTTAAAAGCAAATGTAATTATGACTTATTTGGGGCTTGTTCCTTGTTTATTTATAATTTGCTTATTTATTTCTATGTTGTAATCCATAAACTGTATTCAATTACTTTTTTAATTAATAATAAATGTATTGTCCAGTTTCTAATTTATGTTCATTTGTTAACATTTGCCCC